ATAAACTAAATGCTACAAAATGGTTAGCTAAACGATTAAACAAGGTATTTTTAAGGTTTTAAAGTGTAGGCTATTCTTGTTTATTGTTTACAGAACACTGTAATTTACTGTAAAGGCAAATAGGTCACCACAATGTCAAATAAAAAAAATCTAAAATAAAGAGTAAATCTTTAAAAGTGCTATGCCGTAATATCCCAGAATCAAAGCATAACTATCACATTTATATTTCAGAGTTTAACTTACTATCCACTACGTAACCTTGTGTTTTGCATTTACTGTGGTACACAACAATGACCCTAACAATTACACTTTATATTAAGTGGACAGTTCCTGAGGAGTTACCATGTTAGTACACTGTTAATGCAGTGTTGCACAGAGGTTTGGGTTTTGCATAATACACAGTAAGTTATGACCATTTTACACTTTATATTAAGTGGACAGTTCCCGAGGAGTTACCATGTTAGTACACTGTTAGTACAGTTGCACAGAGGTTTGGGTTTTGCATAATACACAGTAAGTTATGACCATTTTACACTTTATATTAAGTGGACAGTTCCTGAGGAGTTACCATGTAAGTACACTGTTAATACAGTGTTGCACAGAGGTTTGGGTTTTGCATAATACACAGTAAGTTATGACCATTTTACACTTTATATTAAGTGGACAGTTCCCGAGGAGTTACCATGTTAGTACACTGTTAGTACAGTTGCACAGAGGTTTGGGTTTTGCATAATACACAGTAAGTTATGACCATTTTACACTTTATATTAAGTGGACAGTTCCTGAGGAGTTACCATGTAAGTACACTGTTAATACAGTGTTGCACAGAGGTTTGGGTTTTGCATAATACACAGTAAGTTATGACCATTTTACACTTTATATACAGTTCCTGAGGAGTTACCATGTAAGTACACTGTTAATACAGTGTTGCACAGAGGTTTGGGTTTTGCATAATACATGTAAGTTATGACCGTTTTACACTTTATATTAGGACAGTTCCTGAGGAGTTACCATGTAAGTACACTGTTAGTACAGTTGCACAGGGTTGGGTTTTGCATAATACACAGTAAGTTATGACCATTTTACACTTTATATTAAGTGGACAGTTCCTGAGGAGTTACCATGTAAGTACACTGTTAGTACAGTTGCACAGAGGTTTGGGTTTTGCATAATACATGTAAGTTATGACAGTTTAACACATTGTATCAAGTGCAGAGTTCCTGAGGAGTTACCATGTATGTACACTGGTACCACAAGGGAAAACTTTAGCTGTAATTCAACATAAGTCCTGCCGGTCATATAGTAAATACATGGTATACACATAGGAATCATCATGGTTTCAGTGTGTTCTTAACTGGTAACTACAGTATGGAAGACTGCGTGTGGAAGTGGAACAACTTGTGTGAATACATATTGTTGTTACAAAATGTAGTTACATAATGCCTGTTACACGTGTACTTACACATACCTTTCCGTGGGTTGTTACATATGTGTAGTTACACAAATATTACAGTTGTAAATACTATGTACCAATGTGTATTTACACTGTAGTTACATACTAAGTACATATCTAGTAACCATGTAAGTTCACAGGTATTAGGGCCACTTAATATAAAGTGGGACCAATTATTATTATAAAACATTGTACACCAATCTACACTATTGTTATGTTGCTGTGGAACAATGTGAGAGACACCTATTGAATTCAATATATTATTTTAAATATTATCATTGCTATAGTAGAACATAAAACATAATAGATGGTTTAGAACTTTTAATATTTAATATTGCACAGACCACAACTGGCTAACAAATAAGTCTAAAAATAAATTATGCTTCTTAAGAAATGTACCAAAAATGAATAAATAATAATAAAAAATATACATACACTATTTGTAGTGCAAATTAAAATGATAAAACTTTCACACAATTTCACAACTGGTAAACATACTGTAGTCTAAGTATTTTCTTCCTCTCAAAAGTAAACAGTTTAACAAGAAGTGCTCCCAGAACCTTCCCAGAACGTTCCCTGCAGGTTATTTTTTAGATTTTATTTGTATAACCATAAATTAATTTAAACACTGCAGATGATACAGAGGCTACAGAGATTATTCTAATGCTGAAATTTGTAACTATATAAAACAAACTATTAAACAAACTATATAATGCTCGGACACACTCGGTCTCTCTCGCGCACTGTCGAGTGCGCTCTCGGACACACTAGGTCTATCTCGCGCACTGTAGAGTGCGCTCTCGGACACACTCGGTCTCTCTCGCGCACCGTCGAGTGCGCTCTCGGACACACTTGGTCTCTCTTGCGCATTATCGAGCATGCTCGCGGCGGTCCTTTGCAGGTCCTATGGCGGAGAGAGAGCCAGTCGGATGAAAACTGCTTCAGTGAGCTCAATTAGGCAATAGTAACGGTGCATTTTATTGTCAGTAACGGCGTTGTAACGGGGGAAACAGTAATTTTTTTGATTACTCGTTACTGAAAAAGATAACGCCGTTTATTTATAACGCATATATATATATATATATATATATATATAAGACGAAGAGGATTAGACAGGATTTATTAAAGAACTCAGAATAACAATAGACACGATGCGAGACAGTGTATAGCACAAACAATACCAGACAATGAACAAAAGCAGGAATGAAACAAAAGCAGGAATGAATTACAGACAATTAACTAAAGGACGAACAGCTGTGATGATTAGTGTTGTGTCCATGGTCACTAATCGGTGGCGCGAAACAAAAAAAACACGTGATGAAAACAAACTAAAAGTCCATGAACTGAATATAACTGAACATAATTGTGACAGCACTCCCCCCTCCGGCAAGGCGCGACCTTGCGCCGTAACGGAACAACAGAGGAAGGGCCGAAGGGTGCTCTGGAGTGGGACGAGGTAATGGCGAGGTGATGGTGAGAGGCTGTAGTGACAGGATGGTGAAGGGATGACGACAATTCTCTGGCGGCGATGATGGAAAAGGCCTGGTGGCGCAGACCCAGAGCTCACCAGTGCCGACAGCCCACGGCGGAGTCGAGGAGGAGGGGAGCCAAAATGGTGTGGTGGTGACTGACGGAATCTGGGGGACGACTGACGGAAACTCAGTGGAGCCAGTGTGACTGAGGACAGAGGCGATGCCGAGGGTAAGGAGAAACCCGCTGCAGCTGGATGCCATCCTTGCCGGAGGGACGGGTGGAGGGACGGAGTGAAGCGGACTAGGTCAAGCCACTAGGTCAAGGGTCTCCGGTGGAGCCAAAGGTGGAAGCTGCTGGATGCCCGCTGCAGCTGGATGCCATCCTTGCCGGAGGGACGGGTGGAGGGACGGAGTGAAGCGGACTAGGTCAAGCCACTAGGTCAAGGGTCTCCGGTGGAGCCAAAGGTGGAAGGAGCCAGGACAGAGACAACAGGTCGACAGGCCGAGATGGAGCAAAGAGGTTGAAGGTGGGAGGTGGAGTCACAGGATCCTCTAGCACGGGCGCTGTCCTCTTTCTCTTTGGCTCTGGCTGACGCGTCGTGGCGGATGGTAGCAAAATATAAAAACGGTCCATCCTTTTCTTAAGAGGTAAACCCTGCACCCCTAGTATGTTTTCTTCTATGTGCCATACAGGTAGGTGTCTGAATGTAAAATAATAATAATAATAGCCTGATACAATAGCCAAGTACTATGGCTGCCCCGAAGGAAATGTATAACTGTTCCAAAGAGTATTGTCCGGACCTTCACTGGGAAAGAAAATATAGAGACCATACCTTTTGGAACTTTAATTGAATACCCCTGGTCTATACAATAGAAGTCAGTGGTCACCAAAACAGCTTGGTTTCCAACATTCTTCAAAATAAATGTGTTTTGGGTGAACTATCCCTTTAACTTTGACTTGGAGGCTCTTAACTGCAAAAACATTATAAGAAAATAACTGAGGATAGAAGTGCATCCTGCGAGTGTGTGGGATCCTTTGCAATCTTTTGCTTCCATATAGCCTTATGTAACAGCTATGAAAACATGATTGGATCCAAATTTCATCCATGTCTGCATTTCTTACAACCTGTATGAAGCAATACAGGTAATAACTGCTTGCAGTTGCATTTTCTTGCTGGTCTGTTTAAGTCAAGCTGTTACAAGAACATTTGCAAAAACAGTTACACAGAATCGGAATTATGGATAAGCATCAAGAAAATGTCAATTGTTGTTCGTATGTTAATGTTCAGATGATGAAAAAGGTTCAAACAGGTTTCTACAAACAAAAGCTTCTTTAATAAAACAAACTCAGGTAATCCAAATGCGAGAAGGCAATGTAACACACAAACAATACCAGACATACAACAATAACTGAATGAAAAGGAGGAACTTAAATAGGTGGTAATGAGACAATGACAAACAGCTGTGATGATTAATGAGTGTCCATGGCAACTAATGATTGGTGGGAAACTAGGAACAATGGAAACATAAGAAACAGGTGACTGATGAATGCAAACTAAAAGTCCATGAAAACAAAACTAAACACACAGATCGTGACAGTTATGTAATATTGATATAACTATATATGAAGATAATTATAACATAATTAATAATTTTTTATTAATAAATGTTTACCACAGATTTAATTATTTATTTTAAATAAAATAAAGTAATAATAATAATAATAAAATATATATATATATAAAATAGTTTTTTTTCTTATATGGCTTTAATTTATTTAATTTTATTTAATAATTATGTTAAAAGTAGATCATGTATATGACATGATGTATTATATACAATTTCTGTACTATATGCATCAGAATAAAAAAATACATATATGTCCAAAAATATAATACAGTAGTCAATATTTGAAGTGGATCAAAAAAGTTCATCAAAGTTGTCCTAAGACAAGAACGGGTATTGTTCAAAATTCATGTATAACTTTAATAAAAGGTTTTGATCTACTTCAAATGTTGACTGCTGTACATTGTATATATGTAAATGTATTATAAAGAAACTTGACAAACAACACTATAATGAAAAAGTCATTGTAAGCAGTAACACTGCACCGATGCTCCTAAAACCCCTATCCATTCTCAATCACTTCCACTGGGCATACTGTCCCGTCGGCTCATCTGTAGCTTCATTAATCCAGTCTGGTTTACAGCTTTTTTCAAATAATTGCGGAAGACAGAGCTAGAGAAGCAGTAGATGACCGGGTCCAGAGCACTGTTTAGGTAGGTAAAGGCTATGGACATAGAGAACAACTCACTGGTGAGATTGTAAGCCTCACAGTACTTATCTCCAAGCTTTTTAAAATAGAGTGCTGTCAATCCTGTTCCAATGCTAGGGAAGAAACAGAGGACAAAAACCCCAACGATTACTAATACAGTTCGAATAGCCCTTTGTCCTCTCTTGTCCTTGTTCATCTGACGAGACCGTAGGATACATGCAATACGCACAGAGCAGAAGACCAGAAGTATTAGAGGCACAAAGAACTCTAAAATAAACACTGCATAATGCAGGTGGATGCCTAGTGGTGTTTTCTCATAGTTGCTGAAGCTCCTACAAAGAGAAACGTTATTTTCAACACTCAGAAGATTGTTGGCCAGCAAAGGGATCCTTAGAGATATCACAACGCCCCAGATGAAGCAGGCAACCCCAGCTGCTTGTTTTGTGCTTATGTGATTAATTTTGTGATGGGGATGGACCACTTTGAAGTAGCGGTCAACAGCCACGGCGGTCATGAAGGCAATGCTGGCTGAACGATTGACTGACAGCATAAATAGGTTGGCCCGACACCATGCGTCTCCAAATATCCACTTCTCACCACGTATGAAGTTGTCAATACGGAAGGGTAGACTCACTAGAAGCAGAAAGTCAGACAAAACAAGGTTGAAGAGGAACATGACGTTGGCCCTTAAAGACTTAAGGTTTTTGCTGAAGACTGACAGTGCCAAAATATTCCCAGGTAGACCGAGTAACAGCTCGATGATGAGTAGAGAAGGAAGGACGGATGCCACCAGGTACTGAATTGACCTACCACAGTGATATGCAGTGGCGTTGGGTGTCATGGTAGTTCAACAGTCAGAGTTGCTGTGTAGTTTCTGTAAATACAGTTGACAGTTCAACACAATTCTGCAACAGAAATACAGTTGTACAGAATACAACATTCTGCTGTCACCTCAGAAACACATTTCTAATTGGATAAAATGATGGTATTACAACTAACTTGTTACAACACTCTCACTCTCCCCTAGAAGTAGTAGAAAACTTGTTGCAACAATGGAGGATGTTTGCGGTATACAAGGAAGTGTGTCTTCCTGCTTAGTGTAAAATGCTGAAGCACTTGTTTTAGAGTAAAAGCAGTTTCATAAACTAGGAGAAGTTAGAAGTACTGTTCCATGAGCACCCACAACTTGAAATAGTTCTACATCAAAGTGATTGTGCAATTTTAACCCTTTAAATGATATCCATCCATGGCATCCACAAAAGTTGACATTTTTAAAAGACAATTTATCCATTTAAGAACGGATGTTTAAACTATCATGCATGATTTACTTTTATCCTTACACATTATTCTATGGCACTCACAGGTTTCCAAGCCCCATTTTTTACATAGTAAATACATTTAACTAAACATTTAAACTTAACACTTAACAAAAATTAAAATATTTGAGTCCAACTTCTAAGCAAATATTGTTTTGACTTACCAGAGTTCACTACAGACTAGTTTTCTGATTCAGACTCACTGAGATGTAAGCAGAGAGTGTAAATAAGGTTGTCTCAGCTCAAGTTCAATGTTCTCATTTGAGGGCAATGACCGCCCAGAGCTTGTCTTAAAGCAAGCTTCCTCTTGTATGTCATAGTGACATCAAAATAGAAGAGTGAAGCCTAACTGATACTGATCTTTCTGTATGTAGTGTGTGGCTGCATGCTGCAGTATACACACAATGGTGGCATTTAAAAAAAACTTTAATGAATAAATCCAAAATGGAGCACTCAGGAGATCACAAGGATAAATACAGCATAGTATAATCACATAAACCAAAACAAGACTGAACAATGAACAGAGGAAACTAAGGGCTTAAATACACAGAACTAGATAATTAACAAAACTAGAAACAACTAATGGGATCAGGGAAAGTGAACCCTAAACAGTGAAACTAAACAACTAAATATCTCCCTGACTCTCTTTCTTTCTTTCTTTCTTTCTTTCTTTCTTTCTTTCTTTCTTTCTTTCTTTCTTTCTTTCTTTCTTTCTTTCTTTCCTTTCATAAGAAAATTATGAAATGTTAAACTCTTTACTGGAATTACAAAACAGCTGTACTAAACCTTCACCATATAAATCTAATTTATTACTTGCAGGAAACAGCAATCATTTGTTTCCATTGTGAAAAATTATTACAGTTTTCAAACAGATTTCATGAACTCTCCCCCAGATCCGCCCCAAACTCATGGCATTGGTTGAGCCAATGTTGCTTTGTGGGCTGGTCAAGATGATCAAACAGAGATGTTTTGCTACATTGAAATTCGCTACAAATTATATTCACTTATAATTTGAATCTATTCTATCCGTATGCACGCAAATTTACAGTGATCCCCACTAATCAGTCATTTGACTTTTTTTATTACAAATTAGATGAAAAGCAAACATGAGAAATTCAAAATTGTGCCATGGCAGCTTTTCTTTGTTGCTTTTCTTGGCATGAACGAGAGCTATTATTTAGCGTGATGTTTCTAGAAGAAATAGCAGTGCAGCTTAAGTAAGTTCAGTGATGGGTTATTTTTGTTGTAAAAAAGTTATTAATTTAGTTAATTTATATATATAGCCATTCTGGAGAAAACCGTGATATCATCGTCCGGCTCAGTTCAGTTCTCATATAATGGTGTCAATCCAGGCAGACCAATAATATAGTTGAATATTAAATTAAAATTCCCCAACTAAGCAAGCCAAAAGCCAAAAGCCAAAAGCCAAAGGCGAAAAAAGGAGACAAAGGCGACAGTGGCAAGGAACCAAAACTGTGGCACTATGGGGAAAGTCCCCAAAAAATTCTCCCCAAAAATGCTGAAGCCTGATTGATTTCATCTGAATAGCCATTGTCGCTTGCGCGCCCGCTTTATAACTCGGCGCCAGGTTGGATTTACTGTATATGGATTTGTCAACTCTAAACCTACTCTGAAACTCAGAGTTTGTTCAACTAGCTTTATGCAACAGGCCTCTAGAATGTTTGCTATAATGATTATATTTATATATCTTGTATAAATATTTTTTTCCTTCCATCATGCTCTTATTAATTAAATTGAAGTAATGTTTTGTCAGTTTCGGAGACAAACAAGGTCAGGGTTCACTGTAAGAAAAAAAATCAGTATAAAAACAGCAAAGGTACTAATTATTTTCTGCCAGGATATAGTTTATACACATTTCCTTTGCCCTAGAACACAACACAATGTAAAACATGAGTAAAACTCCTAATCAATGTGGGAAATTCCTTCATATTAAAGGGATACTCCACCGTTTTTTCATATTAAACTATGTTATTCCCTTAACTAAGACGAGTTGATACATACCTCTCTCGTCTCAGTGCGTGCACTCAATCGCTCTGATGCGCGGTGACATTTTGATAGCACAGTTCATTTAATACGGGCCAAGCAGAGAAGCGAGCAAACACCTCCACGTTTTCCCTATTTAAATACAGTTACACGAGTAGTGTAACTCGACCAAGAATGGTGACGCAAAATAAAACGTTGCGCTTTTCTAAGCGTGTAAAGTGGATAACTATAATGTATGGCGGAATACCATAGCAAGTGCTTGGGAGCACTTCGACTCGGCGCATATATATCTATGGACTCGGCGCAGTAATATCATCACTCCGGAGAGGGAGAGGATTTTTCACGAGTGATGATATTACTGCGCCGAGTCGAAGTGCTCCCAAGCACTTGCTGTGGTATTCCGCCATACATTATAGTTATCCACTTTGCACGCTTAGAAAAGCGCAACGTTTTATTTTGTGTCACCATTCTTGGTCGAGTTACACTACTCGTGTAACTGTATTTAAATAGGGAAAACGTGGAGGTGTTTACTCGCTTCTCTGCTTGGCCCATATTGAATGAACTGTGCTATCAAAGTGTCACCGCGCATAAGAGCGATTGAGTGCACGCACTGAGACGAGAGAGGCACTGATGGGCAGTAACGCGTTAGAAGTAACGCGTTACTGTAATCCAATTACTTTTTTCAAGTAACGAGTAAAGTAAGGGATTACAATTGCAAAAACAGTAATTAGATTACTGTTACTTCCCCGTAAGCAGGCTGCGTTACTGCGTTAGTTAACCGTCATTTTGTTTCGTGAGACTGTCTCGTGCCATGAGTCGTGCGTGAGTGACAATCATGTATGAGCGCCGCGACGTCAGTGGTAAACACCGAAATGTGTAGTGTTGAACAAGAGACAACGTGGAGCGCGGGAGAGAGACACGCATTTGATTGGTCTCACACGCCACACCCCCGATTTCTCACGCTGAAGTGTCAACCCGGTCGGTCAAATGCCTGAAAGATGAGTTTATCTATAGATCTACCTGTTGAGCCACTCGTGATCGACTAGTTATACCGCAAAATAGTTTAAATCTCCCGGAATCTAGAGCGAGCGTGCATGCGAGACAGAGGCCGCGTAGCGCACGCGCACCCTCAAAGAGGGAGAGCGTCAGAGCGAGCGAGAGAGAGAGAGACCTTGCGTGTGTAGAGAGCATCCTGATCTAGAAACAGGACCCCCGTTGGAGAATGTCAAAATTCCACCTCAAATCTGAGCAAGCACCTAGCAAGAAGAAGGAAGAAGGACGACTTTCTTTATTTCATTAAAATATGGTGGAATGTGCAGAAAATAGGTTTAAATGTTCATCAAAAGTCTGAGACAGTTGCATTTAATTTATTTTTTGCTTGATGCAATGTGCATAAAGTTAAAATATTGAAACTAATAAAACAAGTTTAAAAAAAGAGAGTGTTTCATTTGATACAATTTTAGATGATGGAATATGCAGAAAGAATAGAAGTAGGCTGAAAGGTCTATTTGCTTTATAGCGTATTCAGGTCGTGCATCATGTTTTTGAAAAGTAACTTAGTAAAGTAACTAGTAAAGTAACTAATTACTTTTGAAAATAAGTAATCAGTAAAGTAACTGGATTACTTTCTTGGAGAAGTAATCAGTAATCAGTAACTAATTACTATTTCCAAGTAACTTGACCAACACTGGAGAGAGGTATGTATCAACTCGTCTTAGTTAAGGGAATAACATAGTTTAATATGAAAAAACGGTGGAGTAACCCTTTAACAGTTCATTTGGCCCTAGTTTTACAGACTTTTTAGAGTTGTTTCTACTTTCAGACATCATTATTACAGAGCAGATTTTACTCTTAAAGTCAGGCTGCATGTAACATTGACATACAAGACCAACTTTCATTTTTATTCAACACTTATGTATTCTGTTATTGAATCAGGGAAAAGGTGGTTTCTTACAATCTTACAGTTTATTTGTTGTTGTGGAGCTACAGTTTGGCATTAAAATCCCTCAACTTTGTGTGGACTCCTTGAATTTAGTCAAATCCTAAAAATCGTTCCTCATGATTTACCAGAGTCTCACTGAGATGTAAGCAGAGATTGTGAAAACAACTGCTCAGAAGCTTCCTCTGTCTCAAGTCATGATGAAAATAATGCAATATCCATAATGCAAGGGAACGTGTACATGCATTAAAGTCTTACCCAATCCTGACACATTCTGAGATACCCCCACATTGACCAGTTTGAACAAGTTTTCTTTCTTTCAGATATGCAATAATGTTCAAAGTATAAGGAAGCTCTCTTGCTGCGGAAACTTGCGGTGGAAATTGGTTCAGCAACAATGTTAGACATTAAAGCAATAGCTTCACAAACTAGTTGCATGAGAATTTGCAACTTGGTATAAATCTGTTATGTCTGAAAACATTCAGTATTGTCTCCTGTTGGACTCTGTTATGTAATGCACTGCAGTGACAGGTTACTGTGCCTTTAAGGCTTACAGCAGTGATTTACGGCAAGGGTAAAAAAATGTAAGGTTTGCGGCAGTTCAGTAAACGCAACATGAATGGTGTCATCGTCTGCACCATCCTGTCTTTGTCTTCACTACACTTCCCAGAATCCTCCTTGTCTCCACACCTGAACTCACTCCCTCAATCACCCACCTGTTCTTCGTCATCATCATCTTGTGTCACCTGTCCTCACCTCGTTAGTGTTCATTTGTATCTGTTTTTAGTTTCCCTTCTGTGTGTGTGTGTGCGTGTGCGTGTGCGCGCGCGCGTGCGTGTCTGCGCGTGTGTGTGTGTGTGTGTGTGTGTGTGTGTGTGTGTGTGTGTAAACAGCGTATAAATCATACTAAGTAATGTTTTTTGGAAATGTAAAAATGCAGAAAGTTGTGTGTGATGGGTAGGGTTAGTGTAAGGGGACAGAATATACAGTTTGTACAGTATAAAAACCATTACGCCTATGGAGAGTCTCCACAAAGATATGTGCGCCTGTTTGTGTGAGAGTGAGAGAGAGAATGTGATCCTGCCTGCCACTTTGTACCTGTGCTTTACCTGTAAATCGTTTGTATTGGAGCCTTTGGACTTTGAGTCTTCTTCAAACCCTCACCACACCGTGACAAACGGAGCTACACGGTGTGGTTATTGAGTCCTACACAAACACAACACCATCTATTCTAACAGGTATGTTAAAGTATGTCCTAAGAATAAGAATCATCTGTTTTAGTGAACTAGTATTTCTGAGTATAAAAAATGGAGCGCAACTGAAAGAAAACTAAACTAGAGGTAATTTGGATTTCATGGAAGGAGAGCTCGATTGCATACAGAGAGGCTTTAAAAGTTGCTAGATCTGCTTATTTTTCAACCCTACTAGAAGAAAATAAACCTAATC